TTATCCGAAGGAATTCCAGTCGACAAATTTAAATTTTCGCCAGTGCTGTGGCGCTGTAATCTTTGGCTATGTCTTCGGCTACTCAAATATTTTACGTTTTTGATACTAAATTAACTTCTAAAGTATAATTTTTTATTGTTTTTATATTTTTCAATATATTTATTTTGTTCGTACAAAATAAAAAAATAATTTTTAACGATACAATAGTCTTCGTTAGGCTTAACATCGACGAAAATTCAACGCGAAGCGACATGCAATGGAGAAAAATGTCAAGATGGGATAAATTAATATATTTTTTGTACATGATCGGTTATCCGAAACATCGATATTCCAAACAACCCCAGTCCCCAATCGATTTGGATAATCGACGCTCTACTGTATTTTAAATTTAGAAGCGGCAGCAGTGTTGTTAGCTTGAGATTAATCCCCTGGCATAGGGGATTAGGCCCTACAAAGGGATTTTATTAGAAAACAGCCAAAAACGTAGGGATGCTTAAAATATTTATTTTTAATTTCCATAGAAATGCAACTCTGAAGAACTAGATTTTGGCTAATAACGACAATATGGCATGAGTACATAACTTTACTCAATATTGGCTTCTGAATTTGTAATGAGAGGGATTTTTTAAGTGCATGAAAGACTTTTTACATAGGTTATAGAAAACAAAAATTGCTTTCACGTAACAACACTAAGCGGAAGTTGCGGTTTTGAGTCCCGCTCAGGGCCCAGTATTTTCTTCCAGAAAATTCTAGTCTAATAATTTGGCAGATTGTTTGGTTTTAAAATTATTTTTGATTGGTCCCACATCTTAATTGAGCACATGGAAATGACCAAAAAAGTGAGAAAATGACCTGAAAGGTGAGAAAAGTGAGTGGCTCCAAGCCTTGGAATATGAGGATATCAAGTGAAAATTTTATTCTTAAAAAGGAGAATGTTCAAGACTGAAAATAGTTCACAGTTTCAGCATTGCTTTAGCATTTATTTTAAATTTGCTTAAAGCTAATAATAATTAATATCATCATCATCTAAGTCTATAATTAAAACAAATTCTCCATAGTAAAGCTATCAAAAACTAATTTATTACATGATTTATATATTATTAAATAAAGTAATAAAAATATTGTCTACTTAACAAAATCATTATTGAAATAATCAATTATATTTTTAAACATGTAAAATTAAGAGAATTGATTGAAATGTTAAAATCTATATACAGAAGAGTCCTGCTAGTCTGAACTAATTGGGACCAAGCCCTATTCGGTTAGGTAAATTATTCAGATTAGCTGAATAATTGAAATAATGCAGAAGCAAGCAGCAAAACCGGTCTGATTTATATAGATCCAACACCATCAATGATGTCAGCACACTATCCTTTATTTCATCTGACTTGTACTCAATAGACAGCCAAACAGTTAACAAAAACAAGTTTTGTAATTTTGAAATGGCAACCTGCCTTCATTGTTTACCTTAAAATTATTTTAACTGTAAAAAAACATTTTTAATACACAGTCCAGGATTCCAATCAATTGACTGATGCTGCTGTGTGAGTTAGCACACTTAATTGTGAATGTTGAGTGTACTCTTCACTCTTCGTTATTTTAGTTCAGTTTAATCTGCTGGTATAATGCCCACGAAATTTTGAAAAAGCTGGACAAGGATGAAAATGCAACAAAATTGGCATTAGAGTTTGGAGTGGGCAAGGACACAATAACCAACTGGAAAAAACCACACAAAGATTGAGCAGTTTTGTGCCTCTACTTCAGAAAAATCAGTTAAAAATTGACAAACAGCAAGACCCTCAACATTTAACAAGTTTGATGAAGCCGTATTCACGTGGTTCAATCAGGAAAGAGAAAGGGGAACAACCTATGTGGACCTCTTGTTAGAGAAAATTTTCTCTCCACTGAATGAAACATTTTCGGATTAGGCAGACATTCGGATTAGCAGTGTTTGGACTAGTGGGACTCTACTGTATGTATGGTCATTATTTTATAGTTTGATTTATTATAAATATTGATTGTGCAGTTTAATTTAATTTCAGCAAAGAAACTGAATTAAAACTAATAATTTATAATCCAATAAATTTTTTTTTCAAAGATTTTGACAATATTAAATAATTACCTCATAGTCATCATCTGCAAAATTTGGCATTAAAGATGATAAAACATTGCGAATGCGACCTGGTATCCATTCTATGAATGACTGTTGTAATCGAGGAGACTATTAACAAATTAAAATTTAGTAAAGTACTTCATATTTAAAATTGTACACAATTTATTTATTATTCACTTACTCTTCTTCTATCATTTGGTCTCTCTACACCATAAACAAATGAATTATTTGAAACTCTATGCAAATTTGGAGAAAAGGGCAAAACAAAAGGAAAACCACCTTCGGTTGTAGATGATGATGACGTGTCACTAGAATTTGAAAAATTATCCATGTGAAGACCAGAAAAAAATGATGATTCAAAATCAAAGTCTTCACTTTCAGTCATACTATTAAGGTTTGCTTCTGCATCATATTGAGCCTAGAAAATATACAAACATTTTAAACATATCTAAATAAATAGAAAATTTAAAAAAGTGGTTGTATTATTCTAATCTGTATATAAACTAATTTTATAAAATAGAGAAATCATATTTATCAACCAATCCAATTAAATTTCATTCATTTGCAATACATAATAATGCTATTCCTTCATAAAAATAATTTTAAAATATCTATTGTTTTATACTTTATTTTCTTGAAAAACCAATATGTTTTATGCTAAAAAACTTTTTCAGTAATTATAAAGGCCACAGATGGCAAAATTAAGGCAACATTGAGTGTGAATGATTGCTATTACTAATCAACTTTTTTGACCTTGACAATTAAGATGGGTGATTGAATATTGAGAAGAGATTTAACTAATGTCTTAATTTTACTGCCACTGTGTTAAAAGGCAAATGTACTGTACTGTACATTTGCCTTTTAACACAGTGGTTCTTAACCTTTTTGAAGTCACAGAACACTTAAATATCAGAAAAATTTGAGGAACAGAAAAATCTCTAAGATCATAGAATAGCAACAAAAATATGCATGAACATACTTT